GTTGGATAGTATAGAGCAATTACAGTCTTCTTTCTTCTGAGATAGGACTCAACCTGAATTTTCCAATTGGGATAGTCATCAATCGTTTTTAGTTTTTAATGTACGCCGAAACCCATGAGGTTTGCTTAATCGGTAGAGTATTGGACTCTTAATCTTTTGTTGGGGTATTTAAACCTTTACTAACCGGTATCTAAACCTTTAAGCCCTTTAAAATTAATTGTAAACAAATGCATACATATATGTAGAGAGATGTACAGATATGACTAAAACAAAAAAAGCACTAAAAAAAAGTAACACGACTGCCGGTTTATTTTTCGTGGACCTTCATTATATACTAACAACTAAGCAATGAAATAGTCAATAATAATCATAAAATTGTTTAAAAATGGTAATTTGCGTTAAAACTTATTCACTGGGATCTTTTCCTCAACATTATTAGATGGGTATATCAAAGGTTTCGTAACAATGACAACCTCTTCTGGCACTACTGTTTACACAGAAAACTTAGGACCCGCCCCCTCACTTTCATTTATAATCAAACGAATATAGCCGATATTTTTATTTTTTTGGAGAGTGCGTATTTTTTTAAAGAAAGTTACAACTTCATATTAATCGTTAATTACTGTCTTAAAGACATAATGATAACCGCAAAGGATGTTAGATATTCATTCATACTTTTCTTAGATGATTTTTTTTAATTTTTAATAGAATTAAGCAGAAAATCTTGAAGGAAGGTTTATTATAAAGAAGCCTCGGGGACTGCACCTCTCCACTACAACGCATGTCGGCTATAAATTTATGGAGGCCACTGGATTCTTTAAAATTTTATATGACGTCATTGATGCGGAAGTAGAAATGTAACCTCTTTTTAATTATAATTTTTACTTGGTAGTTAAGAAAGTTCATTCAGTTTTAACACAATCGTTATTCCTTCTCATTTTTTAATACAGTTTTGCAAACCCTACTATTATTGGTGGTATTAAGAAGAGTTGTAAATGGGCCAGGGATAATTGTTTGGAGTGACTAAATATATTGACTGATAATTAATTGTAAGTGAGCACATAAAACTGTTATTTACTTTATTGCATATTGAGGTGTTAAAAAAAGTTTAAAACCCATCGGACTTCATAATTAATTAGTTAAAACGTTACTAATAATTATAACTAATGATCAGCCATATTTGATAGTGCGGAAGTTGCGACGGCAGAAAATTTAAGTTTTATTATAATACTTATGCCATTATGATATTAATGGAAAAATCGGAGAGGGAGTGGCCATCAATTAAGAGAACATTTTAGGGTATTTAAGGTTCGACTGGACACCAATAATAACTTAGTAAATAGGGCATTAATTGATGGCCTCTTTTTTAAGTTATTTAAAGGAACATAAGAGGGACACCATTTTTTTTGTAGAACGTAGTTTTCTTAAAATCTTTGTAAGATGATTAATGAGGAGAGTTAGGAGAAAATAAAGTTTTAAACTTAACAATTTCTGAATCTCTTAAAGCTGGCTTGGTTTTTTATTATTAATTATATTAGGCCCATTTACAAATGAGCTTTATGTTTAATGTAGGGAGCGCGCCAACTGCTTATATATATGTATATCTATAAATTAAATATATATGATTAAAATTTCATACGCTCTCTAAAATTCAGGAGCGGCAGCTATTTAGTAAAAGTAATCGAAAGCTATAGATTAAACCTGTCAATAACATTGATACAATTAAACACAATTCTGCGAGTATAATAACTACCATCGACTTTTAAAGTCAGTGGTTAGTGTCCTTAATAGGCTAAACAGTTAACATAAGTAATCAGAGAACTCCGCAATTGTGTTTTCATGGAATAAGTTATAATGCAAGAAACTAGTATACATTGTATTCTTATGCATGATCTCATATGTATCTAATATTTCAAAGCAACTTAAGTTATTTCTGTTGATTTTTTAGCTGAATTAGTCAATTTTATTATGCCTTTTATACCAGTTGAAGTTAAAACAATTTAAAATTATTAAGGGAATAGTTTATTTGCTTAAAAGAATATTAGCAAACCTGTTTAGTGTTTTAAAAAGTAATGTAGTTTTATACAGATTGGTAATACTACTTTAATTAATTTAAATTTATTTATTTATAAAATAACAAATGAAGCTCTACGAGATAAATTTTTTATTTATTTTTCATTAAAAAATTCGTCGGCATACACCAGCAAGCCAAGCTGCGTATTACCTTTCTCCCCTGGACGCACCGAGCCACTAATTAGGTCGTTTTATATTGGCAAAGGCGGTGTAGCACAGCGCTTCATTTCATTTATTAAAAAAAAAATAAGAAAAAGACTTTTTGATTGATTATGTGGAGCTGTGTCAAGAAATCTTATTTTTAAATTTAGGTATAGCTACACTGTGAGACCGCAGCTATCGCATCTCGATAGTTACTATAACTTAAAGAACACCACATTAGAGCGTGCAGGAAACTTGCAAGTTTTCTGCCTCTGCGGCAGTTACTCATATATTACGCATAATTTCGACAAAGATCTCTGCTGTGCCCAGTACTGATGTGATACTCTGTATTATCTTTCTTCGCGACGTAAGTTGTGTTTATCCTCTTTATAATTGATGCTGTCCTCTGTCTTAACTCTATTCTGTTTCGTTATCCTTTTTTTTCTTTGTTATTTTAAACAATATAATATATTTACATACATATTAAAAATTTTCTTCTTGTTTTTTAAAACCTTAGCATCTTCTTAGAAGTAGCAATTTCTTGGTTTGTTGCGATAGCTTGCTTTGTATAAACGCCACGACTGCATTTGCCAACCCACTAATGCATGTCGCATCTTATGCCGATGACACAGAATTCTATGTGTAGTAAAGATGCTTGCAATGTAAAACGTGCTTCTTAGTTGGTTGTAATTTCATAATTATAACGTGAACGATATAAAGAAGAACTGTTGCAAAAGAGTAGTTTCTATTAGTCCAAATCCAGTTTGTTCATGCTAGTTTCTCAATTTGGCTGGCTAATAAATTTAAAAGCTTTCTTGTTCATGTATTTATTATTGCTTTAAACTTTTAAGTTCATTAAATGTACCATTATATTATATTGTTAGTTTAACGCTTTTTTTGATATGAGTCCTTTTAAAAAAATTAAGTTAATTTTTACTTACACTATCAAGTCCTTTGATTAATATTTCTTCATCATAAACCTCAGAACCTATATCTGTTTCGGCTTTTAATATGATGGCGTTTTATATTCACTAATAAATATATCTACCCTTATCTGCCGTTATTTCACTTTTGGTTTCCTCATATTTCGTTTTAGCAAAGATTGCAACCAAAAGTTAACTATGCTTTATCCCTAGTGTAGTATAAATGTCTCCCACTGCATTGGGTCCACTTCTAATGGTTGACCAAATAACTAAGCTTTATTATATAGTTCTTGGGTAACATAGTAATAATAAACTGTAAAATAATACTATAATACCATAGGAGAGCAAATATACAAAATATACTTTTCTATTAACTATGTATATACACTTAACTATTACTTTATTGGGGAGGTGGGGGGGTATTTGAATTTCTCATCTTTAGCCTTTTTGATACTGTTTCAAATTTTTGTTATTCATGCACTACCATTCCTTTTACAACCGAACTTTTAATACTTTTTTTATAAATGCCTTTCTCATCCATAATAAGACAGTTATTCCTTTTTAATAAAGGGGCGGTTCGGGTCGGAAGATTGTATTACATTATACATTATGTGAAGATACTTAGGGAGCAAGTACCTATCTGCGATATCTTTCTAACAAATATTTTCTTTTAATAAATTAATAAGATAGAGTAATTAAATTTTTAGAGTTAATATACTTGCGAAAACCTTAGAATTAAACATAATCTCGTTATAATTTTTTTACCAACTAAACAAACTTTTTAAGCTTTAAAAAAAGAAAGGACTCAGGCTTAAACTATCATGGAGAAGGTATGCTTACAAAAAAAGAGCAAATAAATAATGTAGGCTTCACTTTAGCTTGCAGGTAATAAAACCCTTTATAAAGACTAAGGATTATATAAGGGGGTATAACTGAAAAAGAATTTTAAATCTTCATTACTTCCCTTCTACTAAGGGATTCATTTATGGGGAAAAAAATCTAAATCCATTTAAAAGTTGTTAAAATATTATAACAGATTAAAGAAGGTTATAATTACAGAATAGTTTTTACTTAAAACGAAAAATATTTAAAAAATTACCATCTTTAATAGTCTATAAGTAAATTATAGCTAACCTAACAAAATATTTTTTATATTATTGCTACAAATATTCACAGAAAATTATGTTACGCCGAACACCGTAAATTCTTTATTAAGATAGATCAAGGCATCTTTTACTTTGTATCAAATTCTAATTTTTGAACAAAAAACTAAGAAAAAATTCATCGCATAAATAATTTAATTTAAGTGCAGTACATTTTATACGTTGCAAAAATGATTTTGCTTGCAAAAGCCATTTTTAATGCGTAGTGAGTCTTCCGCGATTCACTTTTGCTCAAATGTTGCAGTTAGAAGGCATACTAGAGGGCTAGCGGCCTAAATCTTTTACAGTAGCGTGCTTTTTTTTTGAAAAAAAAAACGTTCTAGCTGAAAGCAAGAAAACTTGTCAGTTGCGAAAATTTAAACGTTCAAATATGGCCCGCATAAACGATCGTACTAAAGCTATTCTTCAAACATTTTTTCATTATTGGAAGATCTCTTTGTTTTATGGATTTGTTCCTCTCGTCATATATTTGGGTGAGAAATTTTTGCTTTAAGGCCTTAGGAAATATTTTGCAACTTGTTTTTTTTTTTACTCAGGCTATCGAAACGCTAAACCTTCTTTTTCGTTACTCTCCCTGTTTACGCTGCAGTAGCTAGTAAAAAAATATGTTCACTCTTATTCTTAATAAAATAAGATAAAATTTTTTTTATTATACTCGCTTTTAACGTAATCAACACAACATCTCAAAGCTTATCTTGTAGCTGTCTTGATTTTAAAAATTCGTTGTAGTGCGCTCTTCTTTTCTTCTTAAAAGAGTTATTTTGTTCTATTAAAACTACGTATTTTCCAGATAAGCCCGCTATAAATGTTTTAACCTTTTTCTTTTTCTGGTCCTGAATTAATAACTTCTTGGGCTTTCGCGCTTGATTGATTTCTGCTCACCTCTTTTTATATATAATTTGCACAATTTTTTTAACTTTATAAGAAATGTCACACAGCATTTTTACTTATATTATTAGTCTGTTTATCAATTTTTAACATTTTTAAAAGGTTTAAAGTAGTCAAGACCGTATATAGTAACTTTTAAATGCGATTCTTAATAGCATATAAATCTACATATTTAAAAGTAATTCAAACGTTATAACAAATTCGTTTTTAAAAGGGTAGCGGGCCCATAACCATTTTAGGCGATTATGCATACAAAACTTTAGAAACTTGATCCTTTTCAATATAATGAAAAGGTTTAACTTTAACCCAAAATTTCTCTAAGTTTATAAAAATTGTGCTTGACGCTACTTTTAAATTTTAACAGTAGACTTATGCTTTATAATCCTCGGGGCTTCTTCATACAAAATTTTTATTTATTATAGTAAATGAAAAGTTAGTGGCCATAAAGTAGGTTATAAAGCAAAGGAAGTAACCATATGGTTACGAAGATTTCAAAGCACCAACGTACATATGAAAAAAAAAATTTAATTTTAATTTTTTCTGTCAAAATCAGAAGTTAGATGGTCAATTGTTTATGTTTTGTATGGAGAAAAATTTAAAATCATCGTTATACTCCGTTATTGAATTATTAACAACTTAAAAAAATTATCAAGCCGAAGTTTCTATATATATCGTTTTAAAGGTTAAAAAAAGATCGCTACAAAGCGAAACAGTGACGCTACGTAGATTGAAGGGTCAGATGTTTGACAATTTTGTTACCTTTTGAACTGGGATCCAGGCTAAAACTTGATATAGTGTCAATATCTTGGTAATCGCTTGGCTTATGGTAGGGTGTCTTTGGTTCAACAATTTTCATAGAGCCATAGTCTTTATTTGCTTCTAATTCAGAAAGGTTCTGCTCATCCCATTGTAAGGACTGATTTTTTTGAGCGTTAGGACAAAATTCTCTATAATTTAAGTAGTTAAGGTTTTTATTCTATCTACAGATATATATGAGAAGTAAGGAAGGTAGGAAAAAGAATTAATCTAAAATTCTATTCTTACTAATTATTATACTAGCAAAATAATGGCCCTTGTATATTTTTAAAGACAAAGCAATGCTCTATATTAGAATATATATCTCATAGCGCTATTAATTAATAATGAAAACGAAGACGTTGAAGTTTTCAGTATGCTCCTAACTTCTTTCTTTGGACCTTATTATGATAAAAGTTCAGTTGATATACGTTCATTTTATAAAATACTATGAAAATATTAAACAAATAACTAAATAAGAAAAGGAAAACGTTTTTATACAAGTGAGAACGAAAAATTAAAAGCGCCAACCCATTTCCTACAACAAATCCTCTGTTATTCGCCCAGCAATTAATACGAGGGCTTACATTGTACATTTTTTAGTACACCCTTTTGTGTTTCTTTTTTAACCTTACAGTAGTCACAGGGGGTCTCACAGATCTGGAAATTATTTTGTTTTCTAAATTTCTACTAAAAAAAGATAAAGTTTAGTGTGACCTGTATCCTAATATCTCAATAAACAACAAGTGTATAATTTACGATATTTTTTATAAATATAAAATTAATTCAAATCTCATGGGGTCTAAGAGACCTACTGCGATACTGTAGGGTTAAAAGCTTACCATAATACTAAAATATTTACTTTAAATGGAAAGCATGCCCTCTTGACCTTCACTATTTGTACTCTAACTTTCTCACCATTGGTTATTAGGTCGTCACTCGATTTAACCTCATGCTAAAGAGTCATATATATTAAAACCAAACTTTTTTACATTGCACTTTAGGTTCACGCCATAGAGGGGAGAGAGGGGTATCTTTAACGCCAAAATGTGGATGGCTTGTCCCCTCCCTTTAGATAAAAAAAAAAGTCGTGCTGAACTGCATAATCTATTCGTCTAATCCTTTTTTTAATTGTTTTCAAACAAGAATAATCTACCATGACATGCTAATGGTTTATTCTTAATTCTTAACAAAACTATTTTTATTTAAAATCTGGTCACGACATGATGAGAGACCTTAGAGCAAAAGTTGCGATTCATGACCGCAAGAGGAGCATGGTAACTTTCCAAGATATGAATCAATGGCATATTATATGTTACATTATTGTTTTAAAGGAAGTTCTATTAAAAACGAAGTAATGAATTGAACCAAACACACAAGTTTTTTTTAAACTTATAAAATAAACCGATTGCATCTTTTAGGAGCACTCATGGTTAAAAAAAAATGGAAAACACAGCACTATCCTGAACAACTAAAGGCACATACTAGTACGCAACAAGCGAGGAAAGCATATGAACCTTCTGCAATTAGACTCGCTGTATTAAAGCAGTCAGTAGAATTACTAAGCTTTTGGAGGGAAGGATTTTAGTTATATATCTGTTTCCGATTAAGGTTAAAAACCGTAATTAACAAAGTATTTATTTTTTATATCTGGTACCATAATATATAATTTTCTTCCCTCTAAGGTGGGGCGACTAGTGTTCGGCGAAGTGAGACATCAAACGATAATTAATTATTTGCGCTTAGTTTATATGTGCTGGTAGAGCAAGAGTACAAAGAACTTAATTGTTGCCAAGTTGAAGCTAAGCTGAGAAGTTTAGCTGAAGAACTAATTTAAAAAACTCCTTCGGGATATCTTATTTTGCAAGCTGAAAAATAAAGAGAATAATATATATCCAAGCAACAAACGTTTTTATAATTATAAAGGCTAACCTGGTATTATGTGATATAATACTGCTTCTACTTATAGAAATAACAAGTTTATAAACGTTAACTTAACAATAGGTGCTGTTAATACTGACAACGTAGTGGAAATGGTGACTTAAAAGTAAAAGTTGTAGGTTAATGAAAACGGTATACCTTTAAATAATAGTGTGTTTACTTGTTTGTATATATTCCTGGAGGGATATTTTTGTGCGCAAGTTATTTTTCTTATTAAATAATGTGCAAGTTAAGAAGCCAAATAGAGCGGCTTAATAGCTAAACACTCTAAGGACATTTGGGCATCTATTACATTAGGGTTTAATAATAAAGGTATAAAAAGGTCGCGGACACTGAAACTGGCGTTAAAAGGAGGCTGCAAGAGCTACATTGTGAAAAGAGGAGTTAGAGTGATTAAAATTTATTAAACTGAAAGAATTCTTAACGAAAGTTAAACCTTTCAAATTTGCTTGGGCTTTATATTAAATATAAGATAAAATAAATTGCTTATTACCGATAATACTATCAAATTTGCTTAAATGAATTTACTGGAGGAAGCTTCTAATAGTTTGCAAGTTCTTACGTACAACTCAATTCTAAAAAGTCTTAATTGTGATCATGTTAGAAATAACGTACTTCAGACGCTCAACGCAGTAGGGTTGTAAAATGCAAGGTTGTGGGTTCGACTTCCACTTGTTGCTAGAGGGGCATCTCTTATCTTTTAAAGGTTAAAAAAAATTAGCCTTAAAAAATAAGTTGCGTTTAATAGCCTGACAACAAAAATGTCCAGCGTACCGTACTATTAAATTACATAAATGGTTCGTAGTAACTCTAAACAAGGCGTAAATGATGCCAGTTGACTTGAAAATTGCTTTTATCTAAGTCGGGGGCTGTTTCATAGCAGGCGATATCTCCAGGTGTCAGTTAAAAACTATTGATTAGGAGTCGAAATAAGGTGAGTTTGTAATAGATTTTTTAACTAAAGTTAAAAACCCCTTGTGTCTAAAAAAATTAAGAGATGCTAGTGCAGCTTTGAAACCAGTTGAGGGGCAAAAAAGGTATAGAGCGGTGAAGCATGAGATAAAAGTGTCCGAGTTGCTTAATAGAAATGTTATACCAGTTGTTCCTAAAAAGATATAAAACGAAAATATTTGATACGCTAAAGGTTACTGCCACAAAGGCTGAATGAATCACTTAAATGAAGCAAGTGAAGAAGACAAACTAGTTCTGCCAAGTAAAGCAACTTTATTAATATATGCCAATTATCTTATTTTTCAAAAAACCTAATTAAAAATTTTTAGAAAATTTTAAATGGTTTCAAACTTATAGAAAGACTTATTAAGAGGCTTAAAGGTTATTAATTTTAGATTACACTTTTAGCTTGAGTTAGTAAAAAAAAAAGGGGGCGAGGGGGAAGAAAAGAAGTGTAGGGGAAGGTAAGATAATAGAAGAAAATTGCATAACGGTAGTTTTATTATAAACCAACGTGCCCTCTCTTAAAGTTAAACATTTTCAATGCACTATTTGGTTTTTAGGCGTTGGAACATTGAATTGCTTACACTTTTACTATATTTATATTATTACCTTTATTTACATTATTTTACTTTTGTTTACAAAATTATTTTTTTTAATAATTATTACTATATACAACTATTATTTTTTGTAACTTCCCCTTTTTGTCACATGCGCGTCAAAAATATTAAACGATTGAAAACCTGAAAGCGCATGCTTTTCACGTGTGCTCTGCCGGTGTGTGTGAATTTAGATTAATGCATACGTGTGAGGTTTCATTGTTTGTTTAATTGGGGAGTACGAGGAATTTAAAACGGTGTTTTGAACTATTACTTCCAAGTGAATTCGTAAGCAACTTAATAAATGATTATCTTTATTAAAAACTGGAGAATAAAGTTATAAAAGTTTCTTTGCAGCTACTTTCTTACTATAATGTCATTAGCGGGCTATTAGCCAGCGTAATTTTATACTCGATTACTGTTTTTCCTTTTAAGAATTATATTTAAAGCTTATTTTTAGGTATTAGTACCGTAATATATGTATCTGCAACTAAAAATTAGTTAGGTTTTCTGTTTTAGTTAACTCACCTTGCTTTATTTAACTACCATATGTTTAATTGACTCAGCTTCAAGTTTAAAAGTCTTACGTGCCAACTTGCAACCCCTATATAAAGAGAATATATGAAGTTAATCTCATATTACACGTTTAAAAGAAGTAAATATATTTTTAGGTTTTCTTATTTTAAATGTTAATAAGTTATGTCGACTTAAATCACATAAAATATCAGCAATTAGTGGTAATGTTCTTTTTAACGAAAGTAAACTTGACAATTATTTATTTTTTAATAAAGCACACTCCAAATAATTTTAGATTTTTTTCGTTTAACGAACTTGTAGTTTTACAGCTCTCCAGAAAGTGTTTTTAGAATTTGAGTATGTGGCAGTCTAAAAAAAGAACATAATTGCTTATTAGTTTACCTGAAAGAACTTAGGAAACTTTTTTTTGCTTCGCACAAATTTTTTTTTAACAGTTTACTGAAGACGCAAAACTTTTTTTATTTAAAGAATTATTCAAAACAGTGACGCAATCGATTAAAATTTCAACTGGCGTTAACTTAAAATTTTTGCAGATGAGCAGAATTTGCTTGAAAGGTAATGCTTTTCTTAACGCCTACGAAAATATGCGCTACTAAAGTTTAAGTTTATAGTTTCACTTTTCTAGTGTGGCTTTGATTAATGGAAAAATGTGTGCAAGTTTTAAGAAAAGATATAATATTTAAGAATAATTTACTATTCTCTCAATAATTTATTTTTGTCTAAAAGCATTTTGAAAATTTATTGTTACATACGTAATACGAAATAATTGCTTCTTTATTACTTTTTTTTTTAATCGCCAATATGCAAAGCTTGGAGGATCACATAATACCTTTAAAAATGTTTCAAAGGCTCTGATTTTTCCATTATGGGTGCACATCTCATCCTGAAAGAGATCTTTGTCATAACGAATTCGTGAGCAACAAAAAAAATGCAGGTCGAGAGATAGCCTCACTAGTTAAAAAAAATGAAGTGAGAGGAATAACTATAATAAAAATTTTAGGTGTAGCAATTACAAGTATAAAAGAGAAGGATTGAAAACATCAGGCCCCATCTCGGTAATTACGTTTCCAGTTAAATCTCTAATATTATTAAAGAAACGAAGACGCTTTTTTACTAAAATCGTTCGAATTTTAAGAAAATCTGACTCTAGAGAGTTCGTAAAAGATGAAAATAATGTAAATAAGTTATAATGGTAAATTTAAATTAATAATTAGATTGATTTAATATATTAGGAATATAAATATTTTTGGTTCCAAAAAATTATTTTTTAAAACGGAGTTTTTTTAGAGCGAAATTGGGCAATTTTAAGGATGTAGATCAATAAAATGATTTGAGTAAAGTTTTAAACTACTAAATTCTATTAATAACTTTAAATGAAGTTTTTTTTTAGATCTTATTACTACTAATATTGTAACTGTTATCATATTTAATTACTTACCCCTTTTTAAAAAAATCTTACTATCGTTGTTATTTTGCGGTATGTCTTATCGTTATAGTTTCTTATAAATAAATTAAACAGTTTCAAAATAGTAAAAAAAAAGCAAACTATTAGTATATATATATATATATCACATTTTATTTTATTATCTTAAAAAATAATTTTGTACCAATATTAACTTTATAAAATTTAGTATATTTAATCTGTTTTTTTGCTCAGCAAGGGTTACAATAAGTAACCCACTCAAAGTTCTTTTTTTTATTACAATTATATAATATTTCTTTACAAGAAAGTTAACGCTGATAGCTGTTGAAAAGAGCATTCGGCTATCGATCCAATCCTATAATAGTCAAGCCGCCTATTTTAAAAATTAAAATTTCTGAACACCTTGTAAAAGTTATTCACAGAAAAGTTTTTATTACAAAATAGGAAAACAGCTCATTGTAACTATAACAAAAATATTAAGAAAAAGTAACTAAATATTAAAGTATTCTTTTCCCGACTGATAAAAAGGATAATATTTACTACCTCTCTCTCTATAGCACTTTCATGGGCAGTACGACCAAACCACAATTTTTTACGTTTAAGTTTATTTTCTTTTTACATGCGGCACAATTAATCTAACAATTTTCGCAGCTGAACAAGACTCGAGAACGAATTGCGGTAAACAACAGTTGGCCGATTTCCAGGCAATTCCCTGAAAGTTTAAGATGAATGTTAAGCTAATGTGATTCCGATAAGTCGTGAACTCTAATCTTTTCTTAAAATTGTTGCTCAAAGTAAGCTTACAAGTTAGTTAAACTGATAAGGTCAGTAAAAGCCCTAATAGAACTGGAAGAAATTTTATTAAATCCAAGATATCTACATTATAAATTTGCCACGAAATTTTATAAAATATAATGGAGAAATTTATAGTGGGCGTGTGACTTAAGAGACAAGAATTAACTTTATAAAAGTAATTTCATTAAGTTCCAAGCTAATTTATAATAAAAAATTGCCAAGCAACTTTTATAAAATAAAATTCAAAACTTTATTGTGACTAAATAGAAAACCGTGTAAGTTAATAGAAAACTATGGAAAACTTACAAGCCCTTCACATTTCTAAGACCAGTGAAAAAGTAATTTTTGATGGATTTAAGAGAGTTGTTGCTTAAACGTCTGTGAAGATAGAAATTAAGCACTCCTATATACACTACTTCTTAACTTAACTTGTTATATTTTATCTAAATATTACTTTTTTTTTATGGCTATGCGGAATACTACTTACAAAGTTTCCAAAGATGTCAGAGATCGAAAAGAATCTACAGCGATTGTAGAAATTCGGTTATTGTCAAGACGTCTAAGCCAAGGAATTTAAAAAAAATATAATTTAATATTTATAACTATTCTTCTCGTTATTATTCATAATAATTACAATAAAAAAAAATTACTTTTATCTAATTGTATTAACTCAACTTTTTTTTACCGTAAAGCAATGCACAAAATCACAATCTTCTCTGTGGGCGAGAAGGAAAACAGTAAGAGCGAAGGCGCACCATCAAATAATTATTAATCTTTTATTAATAACAAACTCTCAAACAATTTATAATTGGCATATAATAAATTTTAATTTGTTGTTATTAGCCTAATCTTGGAAACCTTATGAAAGCATGGTCAGTAAAATCTAAATAGTAATAAATACTATATTTGCTTGTGTTATTGAAAAAAATTATTTTTGTTATAAAACTAATTTTAATACTTTTTTATGCATTTATTTTTTTTTATTTTTTAAGTCTATTAATTATCTATTTTCTTATAATCATTATTTTTAAATATTTTAAACTTTTTAAAATCGTTAAGGGATCAGTAGGAGCTCCGGTGATATTTTTTTTGTTTAATATACTTAATAATTACTTTGCACTAGCAAGCTACAAACATAATGAGTAAAAAAACTTAAATTCCTAAATTTATATTTTCCCAAGAAGGCTTTGGAGGATTTTTCATTTACAAAGGGCAGCTTAAATATAATTAAAACTGCTTACCAAAAAATAGGAGTAAACTTAGTATCATTCTCAATTTGATTAAGATTAAAGTTTAACAAAAAGCTAAGTTAATATTGTTAAACAAACATCATAGCACAACTTATGGTACCGGCGTGAATGTAAACTTTATTTACGCTTTTATTTTTATTATAACAAATTGTTGAAAATTATATATATAGTTTATATAAAGGCTGTAGCTAGCCAACCTGGGCTTAAAATATTTAGGCTGTGCTCGAAAATTATGGATGTTTTAATTATTTAAGCCGAATAATCCTTAAAAACTTATAAGTTCACCCGTCGCATTTTCAAAATTAGATCGATTGTAAATATTAAATATAATATAAAAGCTCTTTAAATACTTACAAATGCTTTAAATTGTTAAGAGATTGAGACAAGTGATTACCAATTGAAGTAAAGTTATTGTTGTTCAACCACCTTTACGTCATAAGTATCACGTAAGTTAGAAGATAAATAAACTCTTTATGTAAATAAAAAATTTGATAAAGAAATATTATGGTAGCCAAAAATGTTAATTTTGAAATTAAAATAATAAGTACGGAAGGATAAACTTTCTACTGTTTAAAGTGAAGGTAAACTAACATAGATAAATTAATTAAGTAGTTTTCTTTTCAAACTACACTTACAGAAATTTTAATTCCTTTAACGCACTCAACGAGCCACTTCAATAACGTTTGGGTCAAGCCTATTGCCTTCAAGCACTCTACATTTTTAACATTAATACATTGACTTTATACGAATTTGAAAAACAAACAGCTTAGAGTTTAACAGCAAACAAAAGACTATTTAATATCATATAAGTATCTACAAATAAATTGTAAAAACTACATACTAAGGAGAGCGTTTGCAACAAATATTTGAATAGCATTTATACTCACTTTTAAAATTATATAAACATGAAGAGGCATAGATGTGCACTAAAATATGCTCGTATTTTTTGGGGTTTTATACTCTTACAAACTATGACTATTTAAATATTTAATGAGGGCATTCCCCTTGCGCACTTTCCCTCTTTGTCACTACTTTTTAAATTTTTTAACCTTTCGTAGCATTTAAACTGTAATAAGCACTTTTTGTGCAGCAAATGGAACTTACAAAGCAGTTATTGCGGTAAACACCTCAAATGTGTTTTGATTTAGTTGTGTAATGTTGCTTTTACTAAGTTTCCTTCTCAGAAGCCCCATTTTAATAACTTGTAATTTTAATAATAGATAAATGTCCCATATAGTACTTACAATATTGTTACGTCAGAAAAAAAATTCGACTCTTTCGGAGGGAAAGTAGTTGAAGCAAAGTTAGAGAGATCTCTGCTTAATTTATTAAGGATTAATGAGACTAATAATGTCATAAAATTATATTGTGGGTTCAGAGATAATAAGAAAAAAAATTGACGTCGGCTAACTAAAAGTGTTGATTTATCTATTTTTAATATTGTATCCCAAAACTTACGTTGTATTTTTATTTTATAGTAATTCATAAGGACTTTTATGTTATTTAAAAAGTATTCGCTAAAGAGGTACAATAATGGTTTTTTAGATAAACAAGATAAATTTTGTCAAGATTATACTTAGCAAAAAAAACTAAATAATTAAGTAAACAATTTCTCTTACACTACAACTAATTAAAAAATGTTATCTTACAGTATATTGTCTAAACTTTGAGATGAAATTCTCTTTTTGATAAGGACGGCCACGTATGTAACGATGACAAAGTACTTCATACTAACTAAGCTTAAACTTTGGGCGCTCTCATTAAAAAAATTTCTCCCCTCTACATTATTGTAGAGATTAATTTTTTATCTTTAACCCAAGTGACTCCTTTTAATAAAAATTGTTTGAATTGGACAATCGGTTATTTTAAACAATAAATATTATACGTTTGAATAATTTTAATCGCTTTTTAGCCTATAGTATGTTACCAAACTTTTTGTTATTAGACTTATTAGTTCATTATATCATATTTTTTTTATATCTCCAGGTGGTCTCGGGTCTTGTGCCCAATTTTAAAGATTGTTTATTCCTTTATTATTGGCATATAAAGAATGTTCACTTTAATAAAAAGACTGTCTCATTAATTTTAATCCTGCGCTTTCGTTTTGGTTACGCTCGTACACCTATACTTTATATATATATCTGTGTATAGTTAACTTCCAAAGTCTTGCAGAGTTAAATACCAGCAATTAATTGCCCTAACACCCCTGGTGGTGGTTTCTAGCGGTTTTCCACCACACAAGGCTAAATGGCGAAGTCCAGCTGACTATGTTCCGCATCCTTTGGGTACAGTCATTACAGCGCGATAAAGAGCGTACATTGGTGGGCACTCATACTCCTAACCCCTGTAGAAGAGAAGAATTGAAATTTAGCGGTTTAACATCTCTTACGAAGACCGACAGTAGTAGGCTATTACCTAAAGAAAAACTACAACTGCAATTAAATGTTAAGAATTAGAATCACATTATATGTTTATCTACTTTTAGTAATGGTACAGGACATTTTTTATTAATTAATTTTTTTGCCACTAACTAATTCAAAGCGACGGTGTGTAGTCGCACGGGCGATTAAAACGAATATATTCAGGAGTTCTTACTTTTTTCTTGCCTTTCCTCAGGTGGTTTCTAAGAGCTTAAAAGCAGAGACCACAAATTTATTTTTATAAGAGCAGTTCACTCGTTTATTCCAAAGGCTAAGGCCAAGAGGGCAACCTTCCTCCTATTATTAGTGACTTTTACAATTACTCAAGCGTTATCTGCTTAATCTGGATGGATTATCTTTAATAATACGTTTTATATTTAAATATCACATATACGATGTGTCTTCAATTATGCACAAAAGCGCGCACAGCTCATCGCAGGGGCAGTAGTAATGCACCCATTTTAAGTTCCCGTGCCAAGAGGAATTTGGTTGCATCACCACATGTTCTGGATTGCTGGGCTTTAAAAGAAATCTTCATGTTATGCAAAACCAAGACTGTTTATTATCGTATTTTGCAAAGAGTGTCGCCTTCCACAATTACTTCCAACCATAACTCTACTTCACCCAATGACGGTAGTGACATGTGGCAACGGTTCCTATTACCCAGGACGCATGACAATAAGCTGAACTTCCTCATACGTTGCATTAGATATGTTTGCAGATTTTTTTGGAAACAATTTTATGTTCCGGTAAAGCTGCATCTGCTCCAATAGTTAGTAGGTGCATTAGAAAGCAGTGGCAAGAACGTTTCATGCGGCGGGATATTGACTACTTTACAACTAGCATTTAGCGCACCTCCAATTTTTCTGACTGCATCATTTAGTAGTAATACAGAAGCAAGAGTTGGTATTGCAGAGAGTTTAGTAGAGAGCTTTACTTAGAGAATTGCTAAAAATTATTTTAATCCGCGTATAACTGCGTTTGGGGTTTTAATAATTTTTAGGCCTTTTCCCAGCCCGAGCAAAACTAAGTATTGTACTTCCTAGTTTTACTAATAACTTTAGTTATATTACATTTTTAATCAATTAACCTAAATTTCCTTCGTAAAATGAAGTGGTTTATGGCGCGCATATATTTTTATTTGCAGCTATTTCTTAAAAACCAAATTAACGTATTGAGCATAAAGTGCAATGGTTTTTATAAGGTGCTGCTCAATTGGCGTTAAATTTCAAATAAATTTGGCAAAGCTTTTTTAATGTTTAAGAAACCCATGTTATATCACTTTATTGTTCTATAATGTATACTTTCCTGAAACTTTAAACCTGCGAAATTAGTAAAGAGGAAAAAAGTAAAGAGTTTTACTTTTCTCTGGGCCCTTATCTGAAAGTAGAGAGCCTCTTATTCCTAATTCAAAATTTAAATTTGTAAAAGAGGGAACAAAAAATTCTATAGTAGCACTGAGTTAGTGTAAAAAAACTAAAACTTTTTTTTTTGACATGCCATCTAGGACAAGTGCCAAAAGGAAGAAAAACACTTTACCTTTATATATAAACTGAAAATCGCAATTACTGAACTAAGCGCGGGTGGCACGAAGCACAGGAAAACATTGGACAAACCAAAATAAACAAAGATGTCGAAAGGACTTGAAGAGCGCGGACGTAAATAAAGACTTGAAATTTGCGCAGAAGTTAACATCTTAAAGGGAAAGTGGAGAGAAAAGCCCACTATTAACAGAATAAAAGTTCGAACTTTATGGGAGCTGGGTTTCATTTACACAAGCAAGCTTATGAGTTTTCAGGGTCATAATCCGATATGCACAACAGTCTTAAAATCTTTTCCATTAAGTTGCTCTAACAGAGCTAGACCCCTTTCTTCTGGGTTTAGACAACACCACATTTGCTAATACTATTTTAATAATGTTTAAACCAATTGTCCAATAGTAAAAATGGAATCGCTCCAGAACCTCTGAGCTAGCCTGGGAACTAAGTTTAAGGGGACGCTAGGATTAAGTGGGTCTCAGAGGGAAAGAAAGACACTGGGTTCTTTGTACTGCTCTAGTTTAGTGATACAAAAGAATCCCTCTATGCTATTTATAAATTGTCCTTTGTGAAGTTTAAAATTCTATTAACTTTTTTCAAGCTTTGAAAATGGAAAAGTCTTAAAATATACCAATATGGACTCTCTGACCAATTACTATGTTTTTTTAAGGAGGCAACTTAATCTAAGGGCTGTCTGAATTTAATTATAATAATGTAAAAGCCTTGAATGCCGTCGCAGATTACATATTACTCAACACAGGGAGTATTTTTTTTTTGATTTCTAAAGAAAGGATTAAAAATATAAAAATCTTCTTATAAATGATTTAAAGATTAAAAATCCCACCTTTTTTTTTAGTCAAACAAAGTTTTTAAGCTGATAACAAGTTTTGCATAACATTCATTAAATACGCTAACTTTTATAATTAACTTTAAAAATTCCCTAATTAAATTTTTATAGATAGTAGAAGCATTTTTAAGCTAAATAATGTGTATAATATAAAAAAATTTAAATTGTTACTCCCACTTTCTTTTTATAAAATAAAAATAAAACATCTAAGTAACCTATACTAGTATAGACTAAACAAAGGCAGGCAAATCCCTTTAACCTTAAAAAACTGGTTGCCAATCGCTTCTTATCAGACCTGAAAGATTTTTATTATTTAATATATAATCATGTCTAACAAAATTAACTTATCTAGCTCTTCATATTAAATAATTAATATCTTATAAACTTTAAACTTATTGTTAAAAAAAAAAGAGGACCAAACCATGCAGTAAAACTGAAGCTCATATTACATAATGTACAAAGTTTAAATTCTACAAGCGATCTGCAAGCCCCTTTGGAGATGAAACGGTTCCTAAACCTTCCTCAAACGATACTAAAACGTAGTAAAACGTTGTATTAGTAATATGATATATTAGTATCAACAAAACATAGTAACAATAATTATTATAGAATTTCTTTAAAAGAAAAGCTAGTTGAATCATAATGTATTCACTTAGGTTATGGCTTGCTACTATTCAAATTACAATGCGTAGGAAAAACTATTAAGCTTGTTTGCAGACTTTTATATAATTTTAAATGCTTGATTTGAGTTTTCAAACAAATACTGTAAAAGGTAGTTTATAATAAATTTTATAAAATTATTAATAAACATGCGATCATCGTCACCCCGTTTAAAGTCTGGCTGCGTTACTTGGTTTAGTGCCGACATTTATGGTTTTCTTTAAAATCTCTGAGAGAGGGTACCAAAACATATAACAACCCTTATTTCCTTTATTCCATAATTTTGTTTTTCTTTCGGTCACTTGTTAGTGCTGGGTGTTTTCTAAAAAGATATTAAATTAACTTATAATTCATGAGATTCTACAGCAATTTATCATTAAAAGCTTTGTTATAATTTTCTACTGTAAGTTTAACATTAAAAAAAAAAATTTCTTTCTAATTTTTAGTTTTTTTACAAATAAGCTCGGACTTTGGATTCCCAATTTTCAATTAAATTTCACAATACCAACTTTTTGTTTTTAATAAAATTAAAATTAAAAAAAGCTTATTAATTTAATTTTATTTAATTGGGCACCTTAAACGTAGTGCCTATAAAAGTCAAAAGTATATAAGAAGTTATATTTTCTATACACATTAGTATCTTAGTCAGTTTTCCAAAAGCGGTTGTGATTATCTTATGAACAGAATTGCGTTCTTTAACCACTAATAAGAAAGCTTTACTATAGCATGATAAGAAATTACCTTAATTTAAAAATATGCACTTGAGAAACTGTACAACAATGATTTCGGCTGGCAGGGTAGCCCTGGTGCTTTTTTATCAGAAAAAGTTTAAGCGGACGTTTTTTTAATACAAAAATTGTATTGCCTAAAAAATTACAATCATTTGTAGCTGGAAAGTATCTTGAAAGGTGTATGTTGATCAAATATCTGAAAGAATAAGTAAAAGTACTCCCTTTTGTATTAGTATATTTTTTTATTTTTTTCAATAACTCTTATTTCTAACTTACTTTTACCTTCTTCGTTGATAGCTCAAAACACAATGTGCATCATATTACTAATCCAGCAACTGAAGAAAATTTATTTACCTGTGAATTCGCTGGAGAGAAGGAAGTGAACATAGCTGTATCTGCCGCTTTGGAAGCCCAAAAAGTTAGCTGTGAAATAGCGTTTATCTTTTTTTACTTACTAGATTTCTTTTTAAAATAGTTGTGGATGGTAAAAAGCGACCTAGAAAGAATGCCGATTTTAAAAAAAAGCTGCAGACTTCCTTGGTGAGAGAGACGGTGCGCTATACTAAATTTGCTTAACTTTTCTTTAAAGACATTACCATAAAATACTCGTAATTTATATTATTAAGATCAGCTCGCTTTAATGGAGTGCATAAATACAGGAAGACCAATTCAGAAACTTTGGTTGCTTTTGCTTTCTTATTAACTTAACTAACTTTGCTCGACCCTCAAAATAAACTATAAAATTTAGAGAGTTGATATTGTTACTGCTCGAAGATGTCTTGAATATTTTTCTGGATTATCAAATACGATAGCTCTTAATGGGAGGCTGGTCGATTTGCTTAAAGGAAATTTTGGTTATACTCGACGTGAGCCTCTAGGTTGAACTTTCTTAGTTAGCATAAACATAAATAATTGGGTTTTTGATTTTATAAAAATAGGCGTTATTGGTGCTATCGGAGCCTGGATTTATCCTATCCAAGGTTCCGTCTGGAAGTCTACACCGGCACTGGCCTGTGGTAATTCCATTATTTTCAAACCGGCAGAAGATACTCCTTCGACAGCCCTGAAACTCGCAGAAATGCAAGGAATTTTCATTAGCCAGCTATTCCACAAAAACAATTTATTTATGAAAGCTACCTGGAAGCTGGCTTACCTCCTGGCTGCTTTAACGTTGTCTTGGGCGCAGCACAAACGGGACAACTACATTGCCAACACAAGGATATTGCAGAAGCCACTTAATTGGTTTTTAATAAAGTTACAAGTCAAAAACTCTAGGTTTAGTGGCTAATTATTTTTAAAATCTAATTACATCCAAAGAAAAAAATGTTTATTAACAAAACTTATTTATTAGCTTCCTTTAGGTTTACTTTAGGGGATTCCGTACTCATTTTTTAAACATGTAATGTTTTAGAGAATTATGATAAATATCTTTTCGAAAAATGTATAAAATGTATAACGTTTGAATTAGCTTGCTTATAACTATTTTTATTTTACGTACAATAAATTTTGTAAAAAAAATATTTTTACATTTGATTATTACGCACAATTTTAGTTTTTAAACTGAGATCTCCTTTACCGGTCATATAAATACAGGAAAGCAAATCATAAAAAACAGTGCAGATACCTTGAAGAGGGTCACGGTGGAGCTCGGGGGAAAGTCTCCTTTAATAATCTTTGAAGACACTGGTTTTCATAGAAAAACCCTACTTTGGGGTATCGCACACTCATATTTATTTCGTAGACCTGGAAGTGACGGTCTCTGCAGCAATGCTAGCTAACTGGTTGGTTAACTTCGCCCTTCACACTTGCTTTTGCGCCTTTTTTTTTTAAATACAGGTTTTCGGTGGGAGAAGTGTGTTCGAATGGCACGCGCGTTTTTGTCACTCGAAAACTTCACTCAGCGTTTTCCGAGAGGTTCTACTTCTACCATTTTTATAATTAATCCTTTTTTCTAAATTACTATATTACGAAAGCTTTAAGCAGAGGACAGCTACATTAAAAATAGGAGAGCCCGAGGATCTCGAGACGGAAGTCGGGGCCTTGATCAACAGAAAGCACATGGAAAAGTTTTAAACTACATAGAAGAAGGAAAACGAGCAGGGAAACACTTTAGATAGGCTTAGTAGTAGTCGTATTAGGCGTCTCTAATTTACACAGGAGCGACTCTAATCTACGGTGGAGTGCGGGTAGCCTCTAAAGGTTGTTCTGCCGGTAACAAAACAAGTATAAAAGCAGCGTTTACGGCTTCAGGATGTTTCATGGCCCCCGCCATCTTCGACCACTGTACTGATGCGATGAAGATTGTGCGAGAAGAAATCTTTGGGCCCGTAGTATGTGAGCGATACAGAGCCCTTAGTTTAGAAAGTGGAAAAAGAGCTTTGAAACAAAAACTAATGTTAGGCCTGCATTTTGCCGTTTGAGACAGAAGACGAGGTGATTCAAAGAGCTAACCACACGCCCTACGGACTTTCCGCGGGTACAGCGCTGCCCCATTTATACAGTACCATAAGATTATCGCGTGCCTTCATCAGGAGTGTTTACTCGAGACCTATCGAGAGCCCACCAAGTTGCAAAACGGTTAAAAGCCGGAAATGCTAACGCATTTCACTTGTGCATTTCCGCTCGGCTGCTTTTACTGACCAGAGCGCGTAAATTCCACAGGAACAGTGTGGATTAACAATTACAATCTTACGCCGACTGAGTTGCCTTGGGAGTTATTGTTTAGCAGTGAAAAAATACATTTTACGATAAGTAATACACAAGCTATGCAGGCTATAAGCAGTCGGGATTAGGAAAAGAAAACGGACTTGAAGCTCTAGAAAGTTATACGCAAGTCGTTTTTTTTCCTTCTGCTTTTCTATTCCAACCTCGTTACGATGATTGCAAGGTTAAAGCCGTCTACGTCGAAACGGGCAAACTGCAAAACCCCTTCAGCAAATAAACTTATATATAAAAAAGACGCTCCCTGAACGATAGCAAAAGCCAATAGGCATCGACAATAAAGTTTATTTTTTTATATAAACCGCGTGGTCAGGGCCTTGCAATTGTAATTTCGTCACGTGACTTCTGGCATACAAGTACTTTTTTAAGGGGAAGTTAAGGGCATTCGTGTTTATATTAAGGAAGTCTTCCACTCTTTAACTGTTGTTTCTAATATAATAACTATTAGTAATTAAAATACACACAACTGAGCATTTCCGGACGCACCAGAATCAACAAGCTCTCCTTTCTTCGGCGGGAAGCGCCTCCAACTCACTCCAGCTGAGCGACATGACCAACTGAAGAAGCTCCTAATAAAATAATTTTATGTTATTGAGCATCAAGTGCACTTTAAAGTCTCTCCTTGAAAGAAAAGTTCAAGTGAATTAAAGGAAACTGCTCTACAAGTACAGTAAGACGCAGTCAACTCAACACGTAAAAAAAAAAAAAGAACATCAGAGCTATTATCAGGCAGTGTTTGCTGCTGAGACATCGCGTAAGACGGATGCAAGGGGTGATGGACAGATGGCGGCAATGTCTGCCCGCCGTAGCTGCCTACCGACCAAATAAGCCCATAATTTTATAAGAACACAAGAAACACGCAGCAAGTATTGCACCAGTAACGTAAGATGGGGCTGGGCCGGACTGGGATTGGCCGGGTGGTAACTTCAATGGTAATGCCTCGTTGGGTGTTCGGCCAGAAAATACGTTGACTGCGGGCTGCAAACCAAACTACGAGCAAAAAACAATGCCATGCTAGAGAGGAAGTGCGCTGGTCGAACCTTTACCTGTGGATTCTGCGCGGCCGGATGGGCGTAAGGAAGATTCCCATATACAGGTTGGTGCTAACAAAAAAAAGTGAGAAAAGGTAATATTAAAGCCATAGTATAGTTACTTGTCCGGGTTGAGCAGATTCCAAAAATTGCTATAAAGTATATATATAAGTCAAAAATATGCTGAAAAAATAGCTTAATGTATAGTGTGAGGCACCTCTTCTAGTATAGGAGAGTACAAGGGAGGAGGCGAAGGTGGATCGGTAAGCTCTAATGACTAATCAATTAGAATATGAGTTAAAAAAAGATCGTGAGATTAATCTTTATATTAAACGATTCAATTTTACATCGGCGATCTTGGTGTCGATAGCATCCACGCGCAGCAGTCCTTGTTCAACGGCATAAGCGAGATGAGGATACCTAAGGAGAAGGTATCTGGCCTTTTCGGGATATGCTGAAGCGAAAAACTTGAAAAATTTTTAATAACTTTATATAAAGTAACTTGACAGAAAAAAAACTTTAAATTCGGAGAGCATCTGAAAAAGATCAGATTCCTTTATTTCTGCAATTCTCTCTTTTACGTGTGTGGAGATGCTCTGTCTAGTCGATTCGTAAGACTCAGTGCCTTTAATGTACTTATTAACTAGTAAAACTATACTCTTAAAAATCAACAAAAATATCTTACATCCCCAAGAGGTCCGTTTTCTCCTTGACTTCTATAACTTTCTTTGATGAAATAGTAAATTAACATTAATTATATAATATGTAAGACAACCATTAAATTCATCTTCGAGTTCTTTATCA